TTGCTCTTGGTTCAAAAGGTTAATATTCATTACATTAATATCTATTGTTCACTCTCTCCACTTCCATCCTTCTCATTCAACCCACTACACAACAGCTTCTACACAAAACACAGTATTCTACTTCTTTTTGACATAGTCATTAGAGACCACCTGGTAAATCAAGTTTCTTTTTCATCATATCTTAACCTTCCCTTCACATCTTTCTGGAACCTCACTGTTTCTCTGAATTGTTTGTAATACACGGCACTTGCATGAAATTGAACCAACACCTTTATCAAATTCTTCCCAGATTCACTCTCTATATGCTTTCATCTTGAAAGCTTCAAAATTTGTGTTCCTTAAGGTTCCTTCTTTGGAACCTCTTTAGACACTTGAATAATTCCATCCACTTCCTCGCCTTCAACTGCAATCTACTGCTACAGAGATGACTTCTGAATCTACATATTCATACTCCAACATTCCTCTGAGTCTCCAAGCCATATAAGCAATTATCTGCTAGACACTACCTGGTGCCTCAACATGAACGTAGGATGCAGCATGTTCATCTTTCCCTAAAACAAGCTTAGGCAGAAGTCAGACTGGAGAAAACCTATTTACTAGTGAATTTCCTGGGACTGGAGAGGACTAACCATTTTGCAGACACTGGCTTTGGATAACACTACTGGAGAGATCAAGCACAGAAGTCTTGAAAAGTGGCTAAAACTAGAATACCCTTTTAGCCAAGCAGAGGAGAGTAAAATGGCATTAAATCCAGGCTGGATGGAATCAACATCCTAGGAGATCTATGCCTGTGGAGAGGGTTCACAAAGGTTAGATGAAGGTAAAGGGCAAGATAAAGCCTAAGACAAGGTGAAATAAGAAACAGACATCCAGACCACAGCCAGATGGACTAAGGCTCAAGGATAGACCCTGGCATCAATGATGGAAGGCAAAAATTTTAAAAATAGGTCAATAAGCAGGGGAACCAGTCAGAACGATGCAGGGGAGACTAGCTCATCCTAAAAGGGAGGAAAGGAAGAAGATATATTATTACACTGACTCCAAGATATTCTAGATTGTAAGACACACAATATTTTATGTACCATTATGTTATGTCTTTTGTTCATGAAAGTAACAATACTACCAATTAAATATGACATGCCATCTCTGGCTGCATCTGATTTTAGAAATGTTAAAAAGTGACAAAATAACACATGTTGCAACTAGGGAGCAGTGGAAGCATGGAGGCTCCCTGTCAAGTGTGCTGAGGGCGGGGAACCTGACCTACTGTCAGGCCCCCACTATGTGAAGAAGCGTGCTGGAACATGACACAATCTTGCTAGACCTAGCTACCAGGCAACACGCGTGAAACTGAGTAAGATGAAACACTAAGCTGTCTGTAACATGAAGATCATAGAGAAATTTTAATAGCATGGAAAAATGCATATGATCCGATAGTAATAAGAACAAAAGCAACATGGAAAACTGAATAATATATGTAAAAAAGCAGACCTCCTCAAAAAAGTATTAAATAGAAGTACTTCAAAATGTTAGTAATAGTTGTCTCAAGGTCCTGGAATTACAGGTAATCTCTTTTCTTGCTTCTTTATATTTCTCTTTACTTCCCCCAAATTTCTATAATCAGCACGTAATATTTTTATAATCAGAGATAAGAACATAAAATATTGTTTGTTTTTCAATCTGCAAATTGCAGGCCACATGGATACACTGTTTTATTTGAATATTAGATACAGAGCTATCTTGTTAATGTATAACAAGCCCTTCTTAACAACAGAACATTACTCCAATAATGTCAGGTCAGAGCATGCTCACATCTGTACAAAGAGGGCTCATGTTCATTTTTGATAGCCAAGAAAGTGTGATGCAGGGAATTATTTTTGTCTTTCTTTTCAAATGAGGTTTTAAGAATATCAATATTATTGCTTAAACATGGAAAGGATTAATTACTTCAATTTCCTACTGGAAATTTGACTTGGCATAATAACATACCAGCAGAAACGCATCTGGCCACACTGCTGATAAAAGTTTCCTGCCAAAGGTAGGCAGTGTTGTCTTGTACATGATGGATTTCTCCTTCTTAAAAAAATGATTGCTTGACAAGTAGGTATCACAAAAGGAAATTGAAGCTAACACATTTTTTTGCTGTTATCTAGATGGAATTGCTTTTTAGCCCCACATACTCAAGTACCAATATATTTCTCTCCTCACATTTGAAAAGGAACATTTTGAAAAAGGATAAAGACCTGGAAATGTAAACATTACACTTGCCAAGGGCAGAAAAACAAAATATGCCACCTCTCCTACTTTGGGTTGCACTAGCTAATTAACACGCTGAAAATCTTGGGACAAATCAAAATTCTTTGTTTATAATGTTCAAGAAATTCTCTCTTGTCAAATGCCTTTCCTTGCTCCGGTATACGAAAGCCTAAAGAAGTAACAGAAGATAACAGTATGGATATTCTAATTAAAATATCAGAAATAGCACTTTTACTTAAAAGTTTTCATTTAAAAACTCAAATGTTATCAGATCATAGTAATAATATGCTTGACCCTAGATATAGCTACAACATACATGCTTTATTTTTGAGTGTTAAATAGCAGTAAAACAGACCTTTCTTGATAGCATCTACTGCACCAATAATAACAGATATTCAAGAGGAAATAACATAGCTTGAGTTAATTAAAGAAAACTTTTTATTTTAAGAGCAGCTTCCTGTGACAGATCTTTCTTATCTTTCTTAAACGACAATATAAACAATACAAGAATGAGAAACATAAACTCTAACTGCTACAAAATGCTTAGAAAGCAACTGCCCTAATCTGCGGGCAGATAGTTTAAACAGCCCAAGGAAACTCTTTCAACTAGAGTTACGTGGACACAATAATCATGTTATACGTGAGAAGCTCACAGGTTAGAAAATACTGTAGAACTTTAAGTTACTGCATTACTGTCAGTGAGTCAACCCAGAGCACTTACAACTGAATTGGACATCCAAAGGCTTGTAACTTCAAGATAAGAATTCATTTTGTGGAAAATTTTGGCCAAAAGAAAAAAAGTAAGCTATTAAGCCATTCTGCTAATGCCTATTTCTCATCTTCCACACACTAACTCAGAATACAACCTAGACAGCCTCAGATATTGCCAACTCCTGCTGTTTACTCCCATCTAAATCCATTCTGATTTTTATGCTATGTATCTCCTGCCTCAGCAACAAGTAAAGATGATTCAGCTAAAGGTGAAATCCTAAGACAAAGAATTTTAGGAACCCAAGAAGCACCTAGCTGCTAGCTTTATAAATAATCCAAGACAGATCAGAAACTAAAGTAATGCTTATTTTGTATTTCTTACAAAACAGCAGCGTTAATCACCAAAAAAGACACTGATTTAACTTCTCAAGCATAAAATAGGAGGAGGGAGGGAGATTTAATCTGCAAACAGTCAAGAAAATGTATATGGTACATTTTAGCACTACTGAGCTCTGGTGAATTTCCATTTATTCATCCTTTTAAAAAACATTGATCAAATACCATAAAATGTGCTGTGCTAGACATTGTGTGGAATTCAGACATGTGTAAAGAATCCAATTGGGGAGAGAGAAGCTAGGATAAAAGAGAAGAAATAAAGTGTATTTACAGGCATGTGTCACTTAGCCACAGGGACACATTCTGAGAAATGGGTAGTTAGGTGATTGCATCATTGTGCAAACATCATAGAGTACACTTACACAAACCTAGATGGTATAGCCTGCTACAAACCTAGGCTATATGGTACTAATCTTATGAGACCACCGTCGTATGTGTGGTCCATTGACCAAAAACGTAAGTTATAAGGTGCATGACTTTATAGATATAAAACTTAGGAAGAGAGAAAGGGGCAGTTATTTATAGCTGGAAAAGGCTTCACGGTAGAGGTAATAACGAAGTGGAGACTTGAAGGTTGCACAGAATTTCTACAAGTCAAAGAAATGGAAAGAAAGGACAGTCTAGACTCTGAGGAGGTAACCAAGGACTCAGAGGAAGTGCTGGGCACCTTTGTAGAAATTCCAAGATAAGCAGGGAAGTATAGCATTCCTGGGGAATATCGTGAACAATGAACCTGAAAAATGTCCACTGTGGCCAAATGGTGATGGGTTAGAAATGCCAAAGTAAGTGTTGGGCAACGGAGAGAAAGGAAGGCTTCCCGGGACAGTGACACCCATATCTGGTTGCACATCAAAAGTCACCTGGGATGTTTAAAATGCAGATTCTCAAATCCCACTAAGAATAGGAAATACTAATTATTTAAGCTCCTGTAGTGATTCTCAATATCAGTCAAATTTGGGAAAAGCATGAAGAACTGCAGGGCAGAAGCAAAGAGAATAGGAAAAGGGGAAATGGCTATAAGAGAAGAAGAGAGAGAGAACTAACAGAAAATACCATCTATTGAGCTATGGGGCTAATGCCTATTTCTCATCTTCCACACACTAACTCAGAATACAACCTAGACAGCCTCAGATATTGCCTAATGGAAAAGAAGAACCAGAAGGTTACTTTAGGTCTAAAAGAACAGGAAAGTAAGTATGCCATAAGAGAAGACATAAGAAGAGGTAAATGTTTGCAGGAAAAGACATTTAATTTGGATATTCTAAGGCTGAGTTCCTTATTGGGTAGGAAAATTGGTTCTAGAAATTCAGGAAAATTAACTTCACGTTTAAACATGTACAATTTGCTGGCGCCTCTTCTAGGGTTGCTAGCTACTGCTACTTTACCATGTGTTATTAGTTAACTTTGGGAACGTGTATGTCTCTCCCTAAATACATGAAGGGCAAATATTACATATAAGGCAGACTGCTACAAACTTAAGAAGAACTCAATAAATATTTATTGAATAATAAAAGTGGAAGTCTAAAAAAAAGGTGAAGATTTTATTTAGTCTTTTTTTTTTTTATTTTAAAAAGAAAAAAACCACACCTCTATTTCTTTTTTTCTGTTTTTCCTTTTAGAGATGTCATAATTCCTACCTTTGCTGCCAAGGCTTTTAAACTGTCGAGGAATCTTTGCCAGAAATCCTTGAAGAGTGGGCGGTCGATTTTCTTCAGACTGTCTTTGGTGCTAGCATCCACACTGACATACAGCTGGGTAACTGGTTTGAGATTCCTTGGTAATTTAAAATAAAAAAAACAACAACAGAAAAACAAAATTATGCCTATGTCAGGCTTTTCATGACGTAAAACTTACAATCTGTAATAGATGTAGTCATTAAACATTTCACTAGGTCTAGAGGCTTCCACCTCTCCCAGAAGAATGAAGCAATGATTTTAATAATGTGACAAGATGGGGTGTCAGTTGGTTCTTTTTAAAAATGACTGGACACCACCCATAACAAACTGAAAACATTTAATTACTTAAAACTGGTCTTTCTTCAAACACTAGGTTTTAGTGGAAAATAAAGAAAACAAGATCGAGGTTTAGGTCTGGCACCATTAACCCAGCACAATTAGAGGGGGCTCTCAGACCAAAGTTTCTCCATAAACTCTGCCACTCAAGACTTATACAGCTGAAATCTCACAACCATGTGGGGTCTGTGCTGGTGGGCTCTCTCTCATCGTCAATTCACTGATGGAAGTTTTCTAAGGAACAAGAAAAAACCCCAAAAACTCAAGTCTTCTTTGAAGGGCACAAAGCCACACCAATGCCTCACCTATGCCTGCAAGAGCAGGAGTGGGTTTAAAGTCAAGCCCTATGTGGGCAAACAATGACCTATTCAGGGAGCTTTAAGCAATGCAGAGCTAGAACAGCAGCAAACAAAGCACTTACAAAGGAGCACAACCCAGAAGAAAAATGGATGTTGCAGATTCTTATTTTTCTTTGACTTCTTAATCAGTACCCATGAATACCACCATTCTCCACTTTTCTCAAATTCATTGACTCATTTCACAATGTCATTCTTATCTACCAGATTTCTTGCCAGTTATGTTGTAAGCCCAGATTGTACTTTTTCCAAAGCCTCTCTGATCTCCCTTCAAATGGCTCTCATAATTCATTCTCTTCAATGAATTTAGAATTAGAAAGAAGAAAGAAATTCCTCCTTAATAATCCTCTGACCAAATTCTCCCACTATTAATTTACTATAACTATTCCACAATTTGTATTTACTCCTGGAACATTATTTATGCATTTTTTTGTTTCAAAGTCTAAACACTTTTAAAACCTGAAATATAATTCACATGCCATACAATTCACCATGCAAGTGGTTTATGTGCTTTTTATATCTATCAGAATCAGTCTTATCCATCTTTGAGTATAAGACCCTGAAGGACAGGAACCCTATTTTTCTTTTTATCCAGCCCTACAGGCAGACACGTAAAGCTATCTTTTAGTTGATATTGTTGACCTTAGCTGACAGAACTTTTAAGGGCATGAAGGCCAAACAAACGCTTGTAATGATCTGGCTTAGTAACATACTAAAAAATCAGAAGAGTCTAAACCTAAAGTTATTAAAAGTGGAAAAACTCCAACCAAAGTTACGAAAGAAGTGATTAAAATACTGGCAGCCTCTCACTGCTTTAATCCCTCTCCAATACTAATACACAGAGGGAATCCTTAGAAGTTCAGTAATGTGTCACTACTGAGCAAAGGATATCAATTACTGAAAATGCAAAACAACAGCATACTGTAATGGCAGCATTGTCTCATCACCCCTTTTGCTGGGGGCATCTTTAAAAACAGAAATGCTATACTACCTTAACTGGACTTTATGTTATACAAAAAATAAAAAGATTGTCTTAATGGATACTGCTGGCTATCATCTTGCGATACTTACAGGACTTTGTCATAAAGCTGCCTGATGCAAAATGGGAACTGGCCTGACCTTTTCACTATGCCTCCATAACTACTTAAGATTATGAACAGTAAATTCCAAAGGCCATAGTTATTTTACAAACCTACATCATTTGCAAAACAGGAAGCCCTGGACACTGACAGTACCAATAAGGAATTTTTGTCAATACTAAACGCCTGAGATGCCATAATCAAGGAAGTTTATAGATCTCTTGCCAGGGAGCAGAGGAAGAATGGAGAAGAGGAAAAGTTCCTAGGAATTATAGAGGTCATTCCTAAGGGGCTCAAAAGCAGTAAAAGGATCTTGGAGAAATTTTCTGAACCTAAGGGACCTTATGTCTGCCTGGTACCGGCCTCTATTCCCCAGGACAGGCAATGATGCTACCAACATGGTCATTTGCCCATCTCCACTCTACAGAGAGATAGCATCGTTTTAGTTCCCAAAAAGCAAGAGAATGTTATATCCTTAAAATCATCATAATAATTCCTGTGTCTGAGAATCCCACATTGCTGCCGAGAACAATTAAAAAGGACAATATAATAAAAGGGATCTATAACCTTAAGCCCAATCCCCAGTGAAAATGCCCAATGAATCTTGATATGATTACTGTGATGACCCTTAATCCTGCTAATTTTAAATCTCTGAGTTAAGAATGATCATATATAGAAATGCATTGTAATAGAACAAAAAATTCCCTTTCCCTTTTTCCCTTTCTCTAGAAAAGGAGAGAGATTTATGCTTGTAAGAAATCAAGTGGCGGGCCGGCCCCGTGGCTTAGCGGTTAAGTGTGCACACTCCGCTGCTGGTGGCCCGGGTTCGGATCCCAGGCGCGCACCTACGCACTGCTTCTCCGGCCATGCTGAGGCTGCATTCCATATTCAGCAACTAGAAGGATGTGCAACTATGACATACAACTATCTACTGGGGCTTTGGGGGAAAAATAAATAAATAAAATTATTAAAAAAAAAAAAGAAATCAAGTGGCTTAGTAAGATTGATGCTCCTATTGGACAAAAAATAACTGAAGCGGCCCAAACATCCAATACTGTTATCTTCAAGAAAATGTGGGGCTGTCAAGCCAGGTCAAATAATTTAGGAGGAGGACAGAAAGAGGATGAAGGAGAAGGAGAAAGCTATTTACCATTTACTGGGTACTCATCATGTGCTGGCGCATTGTGCTGTGTGCTTTATCTTCTTGTTCAGTTCATTGAATCCTCATAATAAAACAATGAGGTAGTTGCTTACTTATGCCCATTTTAGAGATGATGAAACAGAGGTTCAAAGAGGTTAAGCAGTTTGGTCAAGGACCCACAAAGAATAAGTGTCAACAACGAGATTCAAGCCTAGAAGTCACTCCAGAGCCTATTCTCCTAGTCCTCCAACAGAACAGCCAGTTTGTGGGCAGTGCAGGCCGGGCCTCTTGTCACAGGAAGCCAAGAGCAGTATTTCAAGCCTCCCGGCAGTTTTTCTGCAAGTGCGGTCAGGACCATCTGCATCAGAAGTACCTGAAACTCTGGGGCTTGGGCCTCTTCCAAGACTGAATCACTCTCCAGGGATAGGGCCTTGGAAAGTGTATTTTTATATTGTTTTCAGTAACTTCTCAACATTGATGAAAGAAATTGAAGACATAAATAAATGGAAAGATATCCCATGTTCATGGATCAAAAGAATTAATATTGTTAAAATGTCCATAATACGCAAGGCAATATACAGATTCAATACAATCCCTATCAAACTTCCAATGGCACTTTTTACAGAAATAGAAACAATCCTAAAATTTGTATGGAACCAAAAAAGACCCTGAATAGCCACAACAATTCTGAGAAGAAGAAAAAAGCTGGAGCTGAAATCATACTTCCTGATTTCAAACTATACTACAAAGCTATGGTAGTCAAAACAATATAGTACTGGCATAAAAGCAAAACCACAGACCAATGGAACAGAATCAAGAGTCCAGAAATAAACCCATGCATATATGGTCAACTAATATTTGACAAGGGGGCCACAAATACTCAATATGGAAAGAATAATCTCTTAATAAATGGTGATAAGAAAACTGAATTCACATGCAAAAAATGAAATTGGACCCCTATTTTATACACTCACAAAAATTAACTCAAAATGGATTAAAGACTTAAATATAAGACCTGAAACTATAAAACTCCTAGAAGAAAACATAGGGGAAAAGCTCCTTGACATTGGTCTTGGCCATTAATGATTTTTTGGATATGACACCAAAAGTACAAGCAACAAAAGCAAAAATCAACAAGTGGAACTACATCAAACTGAAAGGCTTCTGCACAGCAAAAGGAACGATTAACGAAATGAAAAGGCAACTTACAGAATGGGAGAAAATATCTGCAAATCATATATCTGACAAGAGGTTAATATTTAAAATATATAAGGAACTCATACAACTCAATAACAAAAAAACATACAATCTGATTAAAAAATGGGCAAAGGACCTGAATAGACATTTTTCTAGAGAAGATATACAAACGGCCAGTAGGTACATGAGAAGTGCTCGACATCACTAATCACCAGGGAAATGCAAATCAAAACCTCAATGAGATATCACCTCACCGCCATTAGAAGGCTATTTTCGAAAACCTAAGAGCTAGCAAGTGCTGACGAGGATGTAGAGAAAAGCGAATTCTTGTGAGCCACTGGTGGAAATGTAAATTGGTATAATCAGGGAAAACAGTATGGAGGATCCTCAAAAAATTAAAAATAGAACTACCATATGATCCAGCAATCCCGCTTCTGGGTATATATAACCAAAGAAAATGAAATCACTATCTTGAAGAGGTATTTACATTCCCATGTCCACTGCAGCATTATTCACAATAGTCAAGGCATGGAAACAACCTAAGTGTCTGTTGACAGATAAATGGATGAAGCAAATGTAGTATATCTATAAATGGAATATAATTCAGGCATGTGAAAGAAGGAAATCCTGCCATTGCAACAACACAGATGAACTTGGAGGACATCAAGCTAAGTGAGATAAGCCAGAACTCACTTAAATGTGGAATCCAAGAAAGGGACAGTTTGTATTTGCTATTTTCTTCTCTGTGTATGGGCCATAATCTTGTTTCTTTGTCTATATCATGACTTTTTGATGAAAACTCAACATTTTAAATAATACTATGCGGCAACTCTGTAAATCAGCCAGAGATAAGAATATAGGGCCTTGTCAAGTCTTCCCACATGCCTACAGCCCTGCCCCTGCATGCGGTCTTCTAGATGCCCAGGAATATGCTGGAGCTTTTCAAAGTCCTCTATGGATATCTCACTCCCCAGCCTTTCCTTTTAAG